GATTGCCATCATGACGTCAATGTGACGTCAGACGTTTTTTTTTGTAGACTTTATTTGTATGAGTACTATCGTATCGACATGTTATTGTATTTGCTTTCGATATTTATTCGTTGAGTGTTTTTCAGTACATTGTTATTTTTTTCAATGAATAATATCGACTACATTCTAAAATCAACATGTCATGACAAACCTTTTACACTTTCCTGCAATGTCATGACAAACAACAAAATCATACTCAGCTTATATCCGACTATTTTCAGAGCTTTGTTGACTCGTTTGCTTTCGTTTTCCTCGCTGCTCATTCTGATATTTTAATTTTTCTACAATGTTCCTCAAATGCCAATCGAAAGCAATAGACAGTAGAAAACAATTCTACTGAATATTCCTCTTAAGTATCTAAAAATTATAGAGTCATGAAGAGTTTGATGATAATATGGTGTCTATTGGTTCTCCTTTGTGTTACTGAATTGACGTCGGCAAAAGTAAGTGAATTATTGAGAGATATTTTTATGTTCATTTGAATACATTCCATTAGTTGTATGCAGCAGCTGAACATTCGAATATACCTCTCACACATATCCTATGTTAGCTCAGGTTCTGTTGCCCTATGATTTATCCCAAAACCAAAGTTGGGTGATGTACCTCAAACTTGAATAATTAAACTGTATTTTAAAATAGGGAAAGAATGGAAAATATCGTTTCGATGGCAATACGAATAAAAAACGTATATAAGAGAAAGAGTCCTCTCCTGAGAGAGAGTGAAGAGAGGTATAGTCGGTGGAAGAGCAGAAGTGAGATGAAGTCCAACAATAGAACGTCGTACAATAACTCCAACAATAAGTAGAAGAATTGGAAGAAGCAGAAGTCGAAGAAGAAGTAGTAAAAGAGTAAGTCTAGATGGAAGGCTAGAGCTCTTTTGTACCTTTATTCAATCAAAGTGTTATGAATGATATATAGATTATAACTACATTTTGTGGTGGTTTATTATTTGTGAATGGATGGGAAGTACCAAGGATTGCTACATACCCAAGTGTTCGACGAGATGGTGACATATCGCCAGAGCTGCTCAGTACCGTGTTGCCGTAGATCATGAAGTGACTTGATTAAATCGAGAAGGACACACCAATTGATTGAGAATTCTTGTCAAATCTTCATTTGCGGATAAGATCGAAAATTATTTCTCCGATGGGTATCAATGAAGCAGTGAAGGTGTTTATTGAGCTCAATGGACTGAGAAAACGATTGGACTGAGCATAAAGCGGAGAAAGATGCACTTTATAGTAAATTAATAGATTGAAAGGAAAAATCAAGAAAACGGAGATCACCTAATTCATGTATGTTGGACGTTCAATAAACGCGGAGAAGAGCATGAAGAAGAAAGTAGACAATAGAAGGAAAGCAGCAAAATTCATTCACTGAAAGATGCTTCAAATATTGTATTCGCAAACTTTATACTCATGTCTCCGATTGAACAGTCCTTCCGGCGAGCTCCTGTTTTGCGGTAAGAACGTGTCCTATACTTCGAATACGTCAACAATACCTTGGAAAAATCATGGAGCACTTGAGCAATGTCTTCTGAAAGGTGGTCAGTACTCATAACACTTAGCCCGCTTACCTAGCTTCTATCGAAGAAAATTATCACGTGTTCGTCATTTAGAAGACTTTGTATCGCTAGCAAAATATGGTGGACGCCTACGGTAAAGTAATAAAAAGAATGGACAGTAACAGATGGAGCAAGAGAGCTTTAGAATGGACTCCAAGAGAATGAAACCGTTCTCGAATATGACTATAAACAGGTTGGGTGGACGTATTCGTAAAGAGGATTGATCATCTACGCTGGCAGCCGTCGTTAGTTAACAGATCACATTTTCTTATTCGCATTGACCGTCATTCTGAAATTATAACAACACGACGATCGCGAAAATAGACAAATATACAATGAGCTGTAGCTCAAACAACAACTTAAGACGGTCCATACAAATGTTTGAGTGGATAATCGCTCAACTTATTGTAAAGTACATCTGAGTGATCGCTCACTGATACATAGTAGGATCTGAAATCAAATAAGCTAAGATCTCGTAAGCTTATGAAATCAATAAATGCGTCACCTACCTGCTTGTGTTTTGACGTCATGTCGTAATCGAGTGCGAATTTGGTATATGCAATGACTTTAGGTGAGCAATGCTGCCTAATATAAGACTGAATATCCTTCCAGTTTTTATTGATACCAATTCACCGATCTCAAACAGATGGTGTGCTTATGAAATCTGCATGCAGAAGCGAACCTGTGTGCATTGACTTGACCCTGCCAATTAAAATTGCAGATTCTACCACTGCTCTATATTGCCGAATGGTTGAACTTATAATAAGCGTATCAGCCAGCTTTATTAGAAAATGCAGAATATGTTTTCTACTAGAAGATATTTTTACGTCTTTTTAGGGCAAAGTTATTGATATTTTTAATGGAGGAGGAGGTGATATTATAGGTCTACGCAGGACAAACAAGTGAGTTTGGTCGATTGATTTTTCAATTCCTCATGCAAAACAGTCATTCAAAAAATGAGTCAAATAAGCTATTAAATTTAAAAAAACCATTATTGTATTTTTAAAACATCAAGCGAGATGTAAATTTAAATGGGATAATGTAAAAATGGTTGTCACTTTATTTCAACGAAGTAAATTATTTATTCATTCTCTACAAAAACTCAACATACTGAATAAATTGTCTAATTGTTTCCTGAAAAAAGTTCAGACGATGAGTTACCTAACTTATTAAGTCCTTATTACCATAATTGCTGCTTTGGTTGGAATGAATCATTCAACAACCTTTAAATAATCTAATAATTTGCAAAATATGAATAGTATATTTGAATATATGCAAATTATTTAGCGCATAAGAGCTATGAAACCAATCAGACTAAAACTTTGCTAAAGTTCAAGGAGAACTCGGTCATTTTGAGTGTTTCTTGTGTGGTATTACTGTATTGAGGACATTGAGAAAAATTTATTTCAGTTCCAATCACAATTACGGAAACGTTGGCGACCGAATGCGCCATGTTGACGAGCACGAAAACTATTAACAGACGATTCTTTACATTTTGAAATACTCAGCTTGTTTTATTTGTTTGTTTATAATCACACAGTGTGAATTCAATGGATGAATAAAGATGTGAAAAGATGTAAAGATATACAAGGCTGCTTCCAAGCAGTGTTTGACTACACGTCGCACAACAAACACTTCAATACCAAGACGTTTTGCTTCATCATGATCACCAGGCGTACCGTACCTTATACTCACCGATTACCACTTCTTCAAGCATTTGGACAACTTATTGCAAAAGAAACCTTCACGAGAAATTGATGCAAAAATGATTATTGATGTTCCGTGGAGTCTTGAATAAACTATGTTTACATCGCAAGATTAAACAGATTTGTTTGTTTCTTAGTTGAATGTTTTGAGTGTAGTCTTGCTTGGCAATATTCGAGGATGTATATAGTGTTTTATTCATTACACAATGCAATACAAACACGGAGTAGTGTTTCGGCGGAATCGCCTTCCTCAAAGCTTAAGAAGCCTGTGTTAATTATGCGATTCATTCAATCAAACACTACCGTTACCCTTGCAGGAGAAATTTCACACTTAGAGTGGGAATACCCAACCACCATACGTGTTATTCCAAATACTCGTCTTTTTTAAAAAATGGATTTCCTTTATTGTTTTGGGTGGCAACCGATTATAGAGACAGTATAGAGACTATGGTCTGACAGTTGAAGTCAACAAATCTTTAGCCCTACATATGTAGCCAGGTCAAGCATACTACGAACAAGACTATCGTCTTTCCAGTGTTATTTGGAGGCCAGGTGTTTCTGTTTCTTGCGCAACAGTTTCAAATTAGATTTCGAAATAGACCTCGTCATGCTTTTTAGCCCTATTCGCGCTCGATGCGGTGTTTACCTTGTTTTATTTTACCATCTAAGTGCTCTTTTATTCTAATACATTGGAGACGCCCCGCAACCATTACATGATGTTAGGTATATTATAGCTGAATTCATCAGGTATAACGCTTAGAATAAACGGTAGATTTCGTCTACCATGGAGACGATTCCGCTAAAACTTTAGACTGTGTTTGTGTTGTATTGTGTATTCAACAAGGCAATGTATACCAACCTCGAGTATTACTAAATGAAATTGCATTTGAGATATTTAATCAACATATTCCGAGGTTAAAGGACAGCTCGTAATATTGCGCCAACCGCTATCGGACTACTACTGTTGGTATCACAATAGCGTTAAGTGGTTATAGTGAGAACAAGGACCTCAATAATGCAACCGATAACACATCACACTGGTGACATGGAAGTTTGAATACTGCTTGAAAATACATGCTTTGTGATTGTCTTATCACCGGTCGGTACTCCTAAGGTAACGCCTCTGTTATATCCTCTATGTTGACGGTTTCTTCCGAAAGAATCAAGGTACGCTCCTATTTTGATTAATAAAGATATGTTTAAATTTAGTTTATAGTTATTTGAAATTGACGAGTGTAGCAAATATTGCTACTTTCCACTTCATTCTAACCCTTTTGTCACCTATCAGTACAATCAATATCATATCACTCTGATAGGATCAATCATTAAAAGCATAACTCCACTGCACCACAATTCACTTTTGGAATTTTGTTCCTTTTGAGCATTCTGCTCATTCTGTTCTTGTGCCTACAACGTTTTGTCCTTGACTTTGGACTTCAACGTAGTCTTGAACTTGGACTGTGACCTTTCTACATCCACACGTCTCTGGACAACCCTATTGATGTATCTCGCTCTTCACTCCCTCTCAGGGAGGTTCATTTTCATAGACACACTCTATACCGTATCAATATCGATTCGTTAGTTTGTGTTTATGTTATATTGTTTCATAGAAGTTTATTCATAGAGGTTTGAGATACATTACCCGACTTTGGAATTAACTTTACGGCTACTGAACCCAAGCCAATATATGGTAAATTGGCCTGGAATCGAGCCCGAGTCGCCCGCGTGGCAGGCGATAATTCTACCACCGAACCACCAATGCTTATACTCTTTTTTTGTTCTGCATTACAATTGTTCTGTTGTAAGAATTGATTCAAACATATGGATGTATGGTGTCCACGTTTGTTGCATATAAGGCATGATCCACTTTTGCAAAGGTTCGTATTGTGCGAAGGGGAGCCACAATGATGGCATAGGTTTCGTTCTCCTACTATTTTCAACCTTTGATCATAAGTTTTGACTTTGTAACATTCGTTTGGTATGAGGTCCGGATTACCACAATAGAAGCAAGGTCTCCCTGCAGTAACGTTTGTACTTTTCGAATGTTGTTGTGTATTGCCAGACGCTTTAAATCCCATCGAAGGTCTGATAGTGTTGTTTGGCGCTCTCGGTAAGCTGTTTTGTTCACTTGTAAAATTTATGGTGTTATTATTTGATCATTTATCACGAGTTCGTCTTCTGTGCGCTCTTTGATGGTTGTCAAAAGATCTTCCGTTTGCCATATCTCCTGTGATCTTTGTTTTCTCCTTTGTTTAAGAGCATACTTCTGAATATTTTCTGTAAATTTTGCTAGCACTTCCTGCTGCAGATGTGAATTGTCGATCTGCTCTCCATTTTGCTTTAGTTGACTGATGATTGAAAAAATGATTTCGTATAATGTTTCTTGGTCTTCAAGACATTCGCTGCAGGCTCGTGTTGCATGTAGTTGTTTGAATAACTGGTCAATTATAGCTTGTCTATTGCCATATTTATCTTTTAATTCGGATATCACCGACTGATATGATTAACCTGATAATTGACATCGCTTTACGAATTCTTTTGCTCTGCCTTGAAGAGAATCTATTAGATACGACATTTTGTCATAGTCATCTATTCGTCTTGAGTGAACTGTATGGTTAAAGGCAATCCAGAATGCTTCCCATTCCGAAACTTGTCCATTGAATTTTAGAATAGAAATGGGTGGTAGATTTCTGACTGGTGCCACGGGTGTTTCAGTATTTCTATTTGATGCTTCATGTTTGACGTCGATTTTTATATTTTTTATCGTTTCTTTTAGACTATGAATTTTGCTCAAGATGTTTGTTGCGCCATCGATAACATCGAGTGTTCTATCGGTGTTGGCTTGTACTTTGCTTTGAATGTCCTCCGATGCAGAAACATTTTTTTCTAGATTGTCGACTGCTATGTGATAATTTTCCAGAGCAGTTTCTAAATTGTTCTTTTCGAATTCAATTCCTGCTTTTGCGTCATGTAATATTTGATTCATCGAGTGTAAGTACTCTTGATGCCTTTCGTATTCGGGAGACAATTCTACCTCCATTTCTAGTATATGTTCTTTACTGTTGAGGATCGTTAAAAGGCGTTTTGTTGCATTTGTCAAAGCTGCTTGTCGAGAAGATACTGAGGATGTCATTGAATATTGTGGCTTCTTTGTTTTCAAGGAAAAATGAATTTGAAGGGAATGAATGCATCGAATTCACTGACTGTGGAACAATGAAGTTTGATTGCTCTGCTGAAAGAATGTGAACGAAGAAGAGCATTGAAAGTTGTTTGCCTGCCACGCGGGACTTTTTATTCTTGCTGATTTACTGATCCGGCCATATATTCCAAGAACAAGAAGAACATAGAAAATGGATTTCATCAACTTCAGAACTGAAGAATTATCATACAGGCTGTACTTTATCACTGCATTTCAAATAATAATTGAAGCAATATACAGACTTTTTTCAGACGTATACAAAACCAACGTACACAAAAGACACTGCAACCGAAAAAACGGCTGAAGATATGCAAAGTGGCGTCGCAAGACTATAATTGCATTTGGTCCTTACATTCCTCTCATATGACTACCCTTGTGAAATGCATTATAGCTGTAGATATCTTCTGTTGCTCACTTTGTGTTGCATTATGCCACCATAGGATTGTGAAGCAAAGCTACGACAATGGAAACAGATTGGACAACCTGCACTATGGTCGATTTGCCACTGATGGTTCAAAGTATCCAGACCCATATACATACGCACCCACCTATGCCCGTATATCGGGTCCGTATATTGCTATTCGACCCAGGCCCAAGGCATATAGATTTCTGTATATATTGCCATATTCTGCATATTACTACAATAAATGACCACTGGATACCACCATCAGTGCTTCTTTCCGAAGCGAGCATAATGATGCTAAGTCATCAGTTTTCTGTCATGCTTTACTTTACTTTTACTATCAGCACGTCACTTTCTCATTGTGCGGGGTAGGGAGTGTAGCAAACATTGCTACTTTCCACTCTATTCTAATCCTTCTGTCACCTATCAGTACAATCAATGTTATAATACTCTGGTAAGATCAATCTGTAAAAGCATAACTCCACTGCACCTCACTTCACTTTTGGAATTTTGTTCCTTTTGAGCATTCTGCTCATTCCGTTCTTGTGCCTACAACGTTTTGTCCTTGACTTTGTAATTCGACGTAGTCTTGGACTTGTACTGTGACCTTTCTACATCGATACTTCTTTGGACTACCCTCTTTATATATCTCGCTCTTCACTTCCTCTCAGGGAGTTTCATTTTCACAGACACTTTTATAAAAGTTTTTTCATAGAGGTTTGAGGTATATCACCCGACTTTGGAATAAACTTTACGGCTACTGAACCTAAGCCAATATATAAGAAGACATATCTCGGGTGTGTAGTAAAGAGCAGGGAGAACTGTGGAGCCAAAGAAGGGAGCACATAGAAGCATGTAGGATTGAATTACAGCGATCAACGCATATCAAAACTTGTGAAATAAAAAAAACCTCTATTAAAGCTAACTTTATCTTCGAATTAGTATGAATATATTGTGACGGTGTGAGTACATCTGTGTTTGAGGCACAGACACTCTGTTGGCACACGTTCCTGCAGTGGTAGAGGAGGTACTGCCATAAATACAGCTTACCATTTTTTTGACGCTGGTGAATTGTTGCGAGGACGATCTGGAAAGGTAAACAACAATGGCTTGGTAAGGATTGTTATCCTCAAGTCATTGTATATTGAAGAAATTTGTATTCAAAAACTCTACGATGTCATTTCCAAGGCGTCAAATGCGTCGCTCATCAAAGTGATAAATCAACGCTAAACGAGTTTAACTTAGTAATCCACAAACACAAAATTCAAACAGTAGGAGGAATTCGCCTAGCAAAGTTATATGTTCAGTAACAGCGTGTTTGTTTGACTAGGTAATTAGGTAGGAACTTCTTCTGTAAAGATTATGATTGTATTTGTCCGAAGGAATACATAATTGACGTGAACTTTTGAGACTTTGAAGAAGGTGATCCCATTAAAACGTTAGCCTGTTTTTGTATTGTATTGTGCTGTGTTGTACTGCGTATTGTCACCTGATGACTGGATAATCAATATCAGATAGGAATGCGTTTTGTCAATTTCATTTAATGTGGAGACTCTGGAACTTTGAGGGATTCTCAACATTTACCTTATCCATCAACAAAACGTACTACTCACTCTACTGTAGTGGTCCTTCCAATGCATTTTAGACCGATTTTCTTATTACTATACATTATGAACAACACACGCAGTGAGCTTGCAGAGCTCTTTGAGGACGCTGAAAATTTGTGCTTAAAACATTGCACTCACTATGAAACAAATAGAAATTCATTTTTATTATACATAAGAATCAATTCTGATTCTGGACCACTTCACTTTGATAATTTTATTTTAATTAAATTCACTAATTACACATTCATGGATGCACCCATCAGTGAATTTACGTATATCCAAGTCTTCTGAATCATTTTACCGTTCGGTCTTTACCACTTTACCGTTTCGCAATTTTTCCGTTAATACGCATTTAATTCATTCACTTTTGTCTTATTCTTCAATCGAGCAACCTCTCTCAACAAACCCCTTCGAACTCAATCAGTTGAGTAGATTGATGAGCAGCGATATGACCTGTATAAACTTATTACTCGTTGATGATCGACAGAGTTGAGCGGATATCATCAATAAGTTCATTTCCCTGTGTTGTGCGCAAGCACAATCCAATCAAATAGTTCTCCATCCAAGTATTTGCATCCTATCAGAATTTTTCTTTAGAACTTCACCAAAGAAGTGCAACCATTGAGCAGATGTTTTTCCTTTGGTGCGTTAGATATTCATTGAAATCCGATCGCTTGCAATAAGGTTCACAATGGTGAGTTATCACTCTTCAATCATATTACTTTCGTAATGTCCAAGTTTCCGAGGTATTTAGACAGAAAGAACCGATGCTAATAGCTTAAGTGCTTTGACCTTTTCAACACTTCCATTATTGGACGTTTTAGTCCTCGAGTGCGAGTGACTTCGAACATGAGTGATAAAACCTTTATTTGAACATAATGTCATAGATCACATATAAGCAAATATGTATTAAGAAATATATTATATCAAAAAGTGACACAATGAGATCAAAATCGTAAAGTCACATAATTCTATGGTTATACAACAATGTAACAATAACTGGTCAAATACAAAGGATTAGAGAAGGTTATGAGTGTAGAGAGTAGAGTGCACATTTACCATAAATGCTTATATGAGAAGAAGGAATATACCTCGAGACATTGAAAGAATATTCTTTTCATTCCCTCGTAGCCCTTTTAGATGATCATGTAAAAAGCTATTACAAACTCTGAAACGCGAAAAACCTTTTGCGAATTTGGACATTTGCTCGTCTTGATTTGAATATTTGTACTTTTGAGCCGCTGGTTGAAAAACAAAAATCAAACATCTACACAAAAAAGCAACCCGTTATAATGCCCATTGAAAAATC